TTGTTGCTATCAAGACTGTGTCATCAGCATAACGTAAATTGTTTATATTGTGCCCACCAACCACAATTCCAGGCATATCAATTAAAGATCCCATTATATATTCACTGTATATTGAAAACAAATCAGGTGACAGTACACATCCTTGTCGTACGCCCCTCTTCATGCTTTGAAATGTACCTAAACAGTTGTTTATTCTTATAGCTGCTGTTTGCTGCCAATACATATTCTTTATTATTCGTAGATCTTTCCCATCAATGTTTAATTTTTCTAACAGTTTGATTACTTCTTCATGCTTCACACAGTCAAATGCTTTTGTATAGTCTATGAAGCATAATTACAAATCAGTCTTTACTTCTATAGCTCTTTCTGACAATGTCCTTAGGATGTAAATGGCATTGTTTGTACCTTTCCTTTCTACAAATCCACATTGTTCATCGCTGATTTCTGGTTTAATTTTGTTTCTTATTCTTCTCATAATTATTCTCAGTAAAATCTTAGTCATGTGACTCATAAGACTTATTGTGCGATGGTCTTCACATTTTAAAGTGCCTGGTTTCTTTGGCAGAGCTATAAATATGGATTTTAAAAAGTCATTTGGGATATACCCACTATTATAAATATCATTTAAAAGTTTATTTATTATTTCAATTCCAAAATCTCCCAGTGCTTCGATTTCTTCCAGTGAGATCTTGTCTGGCCCGGGTTGTGATACTTCTTCTTCTTCTTCTTCTGCGTTCGATATCAGTCATGCTAAACATTGAGTCCCGTCTGGGTCACAAATAGGATTGTGCGTTTAAGGTCGCCACCGGTCCCCCATAGCTTCTCTTGCAATGTGGCTCCTTTGGGCCAGATCCACAGTCTTTGCTGGGAGAGGTAAGGGCAGTACTGCAGTATGTGTTCAGGGGTTTGTCTTTCTGCTCCACAATCACAGGCAGCAGATACTTTTATGCCTATCCTGTACAAGTGTGCTCGAAGACCACAGTGTCCAGTCCGAAGTCTAAGAATTGATGTTTGTTCTTTCCTGTTGAGTTTGTTTATGCTGTCACTCTCTGGTCTGTAATCTCCATTCTGCCTTCTCCACTCCCACTTGAAAGACTGCTTTAGCGCTGTTTTGGTTTCCTTGTAGCTGTGTGGTGGATGAGGTTGTGGAAGATTACTCCCAGCTTTTGCCAACTCATCTGCTCTCTCATTTCCTTGAATACCACAGTGGGCTGGTATCTACTGCAAGACCAGTTCTGCTTCCTTGGAGAGTAAGCCAATGTTGGTCCTTAGATCAGCAATTATTTTGTCTTGTTTTTTGCTGGATAGTGCTTGGAGAACAGACAATGAGTCGCTAAGTATAACAATTTGGTGCCCTCTGTGTTCTTGAGTGATGAGATGTTGGACTGCAGAGAGGAGAGCAGTTGCCTCAGCTCTGAAGTTAGTGCAGATGTCACCTGCTGGTAGAGAGAGAGTTTCTGCTCTACTGCTAGGGGGTTTAATGTAAATTCCACAACCCCCCTTTCTGACTGCATCTGTAGCAGAGCCGTCGGTGAAAACCTGAGTCCAAGTGGTGTTTGGATACTTCTCATCAAGCATAGCAAGAGCCAGGGTTCTCTGTTGTGTCTCCGTCTGGGCATCTTTTGAAGTGATTCCTGGTACCTTTAGGACTACATTTGCTTTCTCTGGCTTGCTTGTCCATGGTTCTGGCCTAAGTTTTTCGCACAGTGCAACATCTCTTTCAAGCAGATCTTGTTGCTGTCTATACAGTTCTCTAGCAAGGTGGTTGGGGCTCTGACGCTTCAGTCTGTTTTTTGTTCTCTCTTGAAATTTAAAAATGCAGTGGGTGACTTTGAAGTCTTTTTAATTTCTCATACTGTAAAAGAGTTTTGTATTGTCTTCTGAGTTCGAGTGGTTCAGTATCTGCTATCTTTTCTATTTCTCTGATGGGGGTGGTTTTCATGGCTCCGAGAACAATCCTTAATCCCATATTCTGAACCTTGTCCAGTTTTCCCATTGTTGTCTTGGCTGCTGCAGCCCATGCAGTGGAGGCATATTCCATGACTGGCCTGACTGCTCCAGTATATACTTGTTTTAGGATTCTAGAGTTAGCGCCCCATGTGGTACCCGCTAATTTTTTCATAACTGCAAGCTTCTTGAATGCTTTTCCCTGTACTGCTTCTACATGTGACTTCCAAGTTAGTCGCGAATCAAGTGTAACGCCCAGAGAGGTAGGAGTGTCAGTCTGTGGAATGAGCTGGTTTTTAATCCAAATTTCGATTTTTTCTTTTTTTTGGGGAGAGAGAGAAAAGTGATGCTGTGCTTTTTGATTTATTTAGCTTTAGACCCCACTTTTCGGTCCAGGCTTCTACATTTTCCACAGTTTTTTGTAACAGATATGAGGCTGTGGTAGTGTATTCGGAGGCTGTCCAAACTGCAAAGTCATCGGCATGTAGGGTATTAAAAACGTGCTGGTGGCAGGTTGCTGTGATATCATTAATGTAAACCAGGAACAGAGTTGGTGATATAGCACTGCCCTGGGGAACTCCTTCTCTAAGTTTTGCCAGTTTGCCAATGTGTCCATCAATTCTGAATCTGGCTCTGCGTTGGAAAAGAAAGTCTTTGATCCATTTGTACATGTTGTGCACAACTCCTGCCTGTAGCAGTTTTAGTTGTAGGCCTTCTTTCCAAACTGTATCAAAAGCACGAGAGAGGTCAAAAAAGACAGCAAGAACTTTCTTTTTTTCCTGGAAGGCATTCTCAATTTCCTGTGTCAGATATGTCAACTGGTCCTCTGTGTTTCTGTGCTGTCTGTATCCTGTCTGGGTGGTGGTGATTACTGAGTTTGTCTCCAGGAACCATATTAGTCTTTTATTTACTAATTTCTCCATCAATTTTTCTACACAACTAAGAAGGCTAATAGGTCTGTAGCTTTTTGGGTCTCTTCTGTCTCCACCCTTTTTAAGGATAGGCTGGATGAGGGCTTCCTTCCAGGCTGACGGTACTACCCCTTTTTGCCAGCTCTGGTTGTAGATGCAGAGGAGAAACTTCTTGGCAGCAGGTCCAAGATGAGAGAGAAATTCGTTTGTAATGCCGTCAGCCCCTGGGGCTTTCTTCATTTTCAACTCTCCAATTCCAACTTCCAGCTCTTGCATGGTAAACCTTTCTGACATGCAGGCCTCTTTTGTTTTTGTGCTAAAGTCTGCTAGAAGAGTCTTGGTCTGGTTTCGTACTTCTTTTATTCTTTGCATGGGAATATGAACCTCAGTTTCCTTCTGGTGTGTTTCGGCTAGCACATCTGCTGCTACCTAGCCAGTAAACGAGCCATCGTCTGTTTGGAGTACAACTCTGGCTTTTTCCGTCTTGTCTCCATTCAAGCTTTTTGTGAGATTCCACAGACGTGAAGTGTCCTTCTCGAGGTTAAATGACGCTGTCTTTTTGTGCCAGCTTTCCCTCATCTGATTATTTCTCTCTCTGACGAAGGCTGCTTTTGCTCTGTTATGAAGTATATGTGATATTATAAACCTACATTATTTTAGAATAATATGTCACCTTCTTCTGAGTCTTTGTGGCTGGAGCTTTCTGCGCAACGATGTTCCGTATCTGATGACATAAGTTGGATCTGTCACACTCGCTCACTCTAGCATTTCCAATCAGTCGATGTACTTCTAAAGAATGGTTTCTGCTTGTGAGTGGTTAGTAAGATTTTGATTAAGAACTGATCCTTCTTTCGTCATCAATTTCTTCTTTTTCAGTGATAGCCACACTAGAAACAAGTTCATCAAGTTTCAAAGCCTCCATACATTTTGGGCACATTCCAATCATGTTTTTGAAAGACGCTTTCATTTAACAGAAACTGACCGTTAATCGAAGTTTTACTGTAGATCCAGTCTGAATTTTGAATCAGGAAATGTTCAAGGAAACCAAAGCGGCCATGTTGTATTTATTACATCAGTGTTGATTTGTTTTATTGCTTCAGAGGTCCCAGGTAGTTAGCATCCTTCGGATATTTTCTCCAGGTGGTGCTAGTGTGTTGGGACATGAGCAGTCAGATAGACTGGCTGGCTCTGCACCACTTGAAGGTCAATTGATGTATGACAAGTTAGATATTGTGAGGACCCTTTGGAAACGGGTGGACAGTGCGGAGACGCAGATAAATCATTACGGTCTGAGAAGAATGGCGCTGCGAGGAGTTACCAGGAGATCTGGCCGACGCCAAAACTCAGAAGGATGAGGTGGATATACAATCAGATGGTTACTGGTACCATCGGAATTGGAACTCTTCGTTTGTTTCTGAAGATGGAGACTGAGCACTTATGGGAGTGTCCCGAGTGCTGTGATGTCGATACTTAATTCAACATTCAACATTGTTGATTTGTTTGTAAAGTATGGGGCTACCAACATATACCCGAAACACCTGAAGACATGGACAAAAGTCTGTATCTGACAACATATTAAAGCTTCACTGAGTAAGAAGATACCAAAGCCATGATCACGTCTAATGCTGACTATTTTATTTTCAAATGCGTCTTTTAAAACTGAACCGATTGCCTGTAATCAAGGCTACATCTGCCATGCTCTCAAGCCGTTTCAGGGAACAAATGACCCCGGAAGACAATAAACCACACAATCGGGCTAACCTTATGACCTTTCTTCAATTTCACCAATAAAATAGTGCACGTGCGTTACTCAACTGACCACCTGCAATGGAGAACAATGGCAGGTTCTGAGCAAACTAATCACAAACTCCGTGACACAATAGCGTCTGGCACGGGTAACAATTTTATCCAATCCAGCGTTTCGGGGCATTTCCTTGATGGCCGGTCATGCCCTAGTGCATAAAGATGGTGGTGTTATCATTCTTAGTGCGCTATCTGTTCTTGTGGTCGTGCGATAATTGATCATTTTTAGACTAATTGAAAATTAAAGCGGCCAGCGACGAATGTTAGATAGAAGACGATAGGGTCAAAGTCCTGAAGAGATCGTCCCTAGAGATTTGGAGCGTCCCAATATTTTGACACTTTTTGTGAACGAGACATGGAAATATGGTCGACTCAGAAACTGAAACAATGGCGAAGCCCATGCGAGAATCTCTGAGATAATTAACGTGGCACCAAGGACAGCTGGTTGGCGAAGTCCGATGGATTTCAGGGGAGGAGAAGATTGCTGCGAGCTATGGCTATGCTGTTGTGTCATCATGCAGAGGGGGCGGTTGTTGAGGCTTTGGTTCGAGTTGTTTCCAGCGCTTTGAGTTTCCCGCCCGGTGTCAAATGTCTTCTCCTTCTTCTTCACTGTCTGTACATTCTGACGGAAAGTTCTGACTGTTTGTTCTAATCGAGTAACAGAAAGTGTATTGATCGGCACTCATAGAAAGAAGTAGAAAGATAGAAGAATGAATGTTTGTTCACTTCTATCCAATGTGGGTTCTGGGACACCATAGTGGGGGAAAAAAAGACACGCTTGTTATAGAGACAGTGGGTCTATTACACCCCCCCCCCCTATTGTAAATGGGGAGAGGCGAACCCCAAACGGGGATGTTAGTATGACAACTGTATGTTACAGAACATAGAAAAGTAATTATTAGTAAGTAAAGATCCGTTTTCACGCATTTAGGCGCATCGGGCATATGGGAAGAGCACCCATATGTTTACAGATCAATCAGCAGCTGGTGTGTAATGTGGTCAGCATTACGCCGGCAGTCTTTACTTTCCTGGGACATCAATCCTGGTACCCATTTTAGGCTGGGTCGACCTGCGACGCCCCATACAAGGATAAAAAGAATCCACGCAGCCATCAGTGGGTTTCGATCGCTGTACGTTTAAATTACGAGTCGGAATCACAACGCCTAAGCCAAGGACGCCTCCATAAAAAAGTAATTAGATTTTTAAATTGCCAATTAAAGTATTTTGGATTATTTGATATTGAAAAGGTTCAAATAATTTCCTGGCAGACATACCGTGAGATAAATGTGTTATAGAGGAAGAGAAGATCCACCTCTAGCTAAAGCGAAGGTGACTGTATTATGGATTTGACTATTTGCATCTTTATACTAAAACCGACTGCCTCTCTCCTCATCCAGTGCCGTCTTAACGCTTGGGCAAGTCGATCAGTTGCTCCGGGCATATGCTGTGAGATTAACCTGACCCTTAAAGTCGAGATAATCGACTTCAATGCACCGGGTATTATCCCATATAGCTCGGTCTTTCTCCCCAAAACGGCTAGCCGACCCTCGTGGATTTCTGTGAAACTAACCCTGTGGACAGAACGACGCATTCGTGAATCGATCATACTACCTAAAATGAAACTGCCCCTCTGAAACGTATGGGCACGACGATTTGTCGCTGGAGTCCCTATGATGTGCGATAAAAATGATACCCTAATTTCTTACGAATGGACATAATTAGTACCACAGTTAGGCTCACAATGCCATCTCAAGAATAAAATGTTTGCAGCTGTAACTTGGAGCTTTCTAGATGATTTTATAATATAATTTCTATGATTTGTTAAACACATTCTGTAAAAGTCTTTTAAAAAATTCAATAACAATATATTTCCACTATCCTTATATTTAAAAGGTGTATTTTTTTTTTTTTTTTTTACGTATCCAGAAACCATGAGTTGTAAACCCTTTAGCTCGGTACTATGGATATCGCAACCCTTCGGCCTTGATTCCATTATAGGTACCGTTAATCTGGGAGAAATGTGGCTTTTCTGCCTACCCCCGGGAGTGAACCCGGACCACAAGGAGTTCGTCACCCGGCCGCCGCGAACGTCAGGTTTAAACAAAAAAGGTGTATAAATCAAGGAAGCCGAAATATTTTGGTCATAACAAGCGCCACGACGGATTGGAAAAAAATAATAGCAGAAGGCATGGTACCAGGAAGGAGGGGCATGGGCCGACCAACAGGCTGACCGTGATGAGAGCGACGTACTGTAAAGGACCTGCTATCGGATCTGATTAGCTGGTGTAATTTAAAACGGCAAGTGAGTGACGTTCAACCCCACCAGGACCGCACAACGAGCGATAAACACCAGGTAACACAAAGTGCCACAATTTGGATGAGAATTACTTGGATACAAGTCACAAAAAGCCCCTTTAAACGTTAGCTTATATTAGCCGCCCCCCCCCCCCTCTCAACCCTCCCGACTACAGCTAAAAATGATTTAAAACAGTAGGGGCATCAGGGCTTACTATAGCGTAGGGCTTCATCAGGTCTAAATCGGGCCCTGGAGGTAATGATGAGTCGTCCGTGAGCCCCACCAGAATATGGGCCCAGTGATAATTTATCAGATGCATCACTCTCGTCGTCTAGTTCTCTTTTCCGTTCTGTGCAGTCCTTTCTATGTCACACTGAAAGTATTATCTTTGTCAAAAACGTTCGTCTGAGGGTTTTTCTGGACTTCCTCATTTCCTCAACTCATGTGTTTCCCATTTCGTTGCCTGTTTAATTGTTCTCTGACCGCTTTTCTTCATGGTATGTTAAATTTATTGTTATCTTCTTATAACAATTGATACAAACGGTTATCCATACATTTTTCTTAATTCCCTATGCTAAGAAAACCACTCACAAGCAAGACAAAAATAGCAGGCTTAATGGCAAAACTTCCAAGCTAGAAAAGCTACCCACAAAACAAAAGAATAGTTAAAGCTTGTCTGAGTCTTGTCAACACAAGTTAGGATCTTTACCAGTGTTGTGTAGTTTAGTGTAGAGAGCTGCATAGACGGATAGAAGATTTAGGTTTATATAGGAGAAAGACTTGAAAGAAACGGGCTCATGAAGAAAAACTGATTGCCCACAGCAGAAAAAGACAATCTACGTTCTTTGGTCAGATGATGAGAAGGTGAAAACTGGAGTACGTCGTAACGGTAGGAATGTTAGAGGAGAGGAGAGGCAGAGGGAGACCGAGAGAACAGATGCCGGACAGTTTGACACCATGGTATGTAAGACCATCTGTGTCAGAGTTGACTAAAAGTACATGAAACAGAAGGTTGTGGCTAGACATGACTACCAACGCAACACGGCATGGACTCTATGAAGAAGAAGAACAGATAGACAATATAATGAAGGTAACATGTGAGCAGTAGGGATTCATAAGTGTGAACATTGCGCGGTAACTGATAGGACAAGCCATCTGTACACGTTTAGCCGTTGGCCGACGTTCCGGTATCCCTGCACACAGATCGCCCCATAATTCACTGCTCCGTTCTTGTGCCAGTGGAAATCATAAAAATATCATTTCCTGTCCCGTTTGATAACTAGTGAAAAACTTGGAAGCTCCAGTAAAAGCTTGAACTTGAACGCAAAGTAAAAAAGCAAAAAACTAACAGTAGTCGCATTCAGATAGTTATATAAGCAATACAAATACAAAAGGCAACTTTGGTTTTCGTAGTAGTGTGAATTTTTTTTTTTTTTTAGAATTCAAAGAAATTAAAACTAGTTTCAGCCTGAATTTTCATCTACAATGTCAAATCAGTACTGCTGTATATGGCAGAAAAAAATGGTATGACAGAACTACTAAGATGGAGCGTTTGGAGAGAACTAACTAAATGGGGGTGATCACGAACTGTAGAAAACACGCTAGGATTATATATGATACACAATGTTAGTCTATTAGAAACCATTTCGGGTTAAAGAATAAAGGCAGACCCCCCCCCCCCTCCAACTCCCCCTCCCCTTTAAAAAAAACACACACACATAAAGCACACACATAAAACACACACACATAGCCTAAATGAAGAAGAAGCGCCCGGCTCTCTAGCGTAGTTGGCTAAACCGGATTGAGCGGAGACCGGCTGACCAACTCTTTGTGGTCCGGGTTCAATCCCAGGGGTAGGCAGGAAAGTCACATTTCTCCCAGATTTACGGTATTTACAATGGAATCAAGGCCGAAAGGTTGCGATATCCATAATACCGAGCCTAAGGGTTAACAACTCATGGCTTCTGGATACTAAAACAAACAAACAAATAACAAACAAAGGAAGAAGAAAAACAGATCACTTGATTGGGGGGGGGGGGGGGGGGGGGTCTGGGGGGGCAATTAGAGAAGACATTGAAAGAGCTGGGCGCGATGGTAAAGGACAAAAGCACGACTTTGTGCAAGTGGACTGAGGGCATATGCTCCTCAAGAAAGGGAAGAAGAAGAAGAAGAAGAAAGAAGAAGAAGAAGAAGAAGAAGAAGAAGAAGAAGAAGAAGAAGAAGAAGAAGAAGAAGAAGAAGAAAGAAGAAGAAGAAAGAAGAAGAAAGAAGAAGAAGAGAAGAAGAAGAAGAAGAAGAAGAAGAAGAAGAAGAAGAAGAGAAGAAGAAGAAGAAGGCAGAAGAAGAAAGAAGAAGAAGAAGAAAGAAGAAGAAGAAGAAGAATGAAGAAGACAGAAGAAGAAGAAGAAGAGAGAAGAAGAAGAAGAAGAAGAAGAAGAAGACAGAGAAGAAGAAGAAGAAGAAGAAGAAGAAGAAGAAGAAGAAGAGAAGAAGAAGAAAGAAGAAGAAGAAGAAGAAGAAGAAGAAGAAGAAGAAGAAGAAGAAGAAAGAAAAGAAGAAGAAGAAGAAGAAGAAGCAAGAGAAGAAGAAGAAGAAGAAGAAGAAGAAGAAGAAGAAGAAGAAGAAGAATAAGAAGAAGAAGAAGAAGAAAAGAAGAAGAAGAAGAGAAGAAGAAGAAGAAGAAGAAAGAGAAGAAGAAGAAGAAGGAAAGAAGAAGAAGAAGAAGAAGAAGAAGAAGAAGAAGAAGAAGAAGAGAGAAGAAGAAAAGAAGAAGAAGAAGAAGAAAGAAGAAGAAGAAGAGAAGAAGAGAAGAAGAAGAAGAGAAGAAGAAGAAGAAGAAGAAGAAGAAGAGAAGAAAGAAGAAGAAGAAGAAGAAGAAGAAGAAGAAGAAGAAGAAGAAGAAGAAGAAGAAGAAATGAAGAAGAAGAAGAAGAAAGAAGAAGAAGAAGGAAGAAGAAAGAAGAAGAAGAAGAAAGAAGGAGGAAGAAGAAGAAGAAGAAGAAGAAGAAGAAGACAAGAAGAAAAGAAGAAGAAGAAGAAGAAGAAGAAGAAGCAAGAAGAAGAAGAAGAAGAAGAAGAAAAGAAGAAGAAGAAGAAGAGAAGAAGAAGAAGAAGAAAGAAGGGAGGAAGAAGAAAGAAGAAGAAGAAGAAGAAGAAAGAAGAAGAAGAAGAAGAAGAAGAAGAAGAAGAAGGAAGAAGAAGAAGAAGAAGAAGAAGAAAGA